CCATTTACGAATATTATTGGCTGGAATTTTACACTCGCTATTTTTTAATATTTTGAAGTGCTGTGTAAAATATGCCACACTCCATGATGGAATATTTGACCTAATGTTAACAGACGTTAAATGGAGTGTGGGAATTTGTAGTATTTTGTTATCACTGGTGCAAGAGAGAAGTGAGTTATATAAGAGTTTGTTATAGCCGTGCAAGTTATCATCAGTCAGTAATAAAGAGTTCGCCAAGTGGTTGACTGGTTGGATTCCATAAAACTGAAATCAAAATATATCGAACTTGACTGTATACAAACTGACTACTCCCAACAAGAGAGCATTTCAGGATAACAAACTACTTTATGCTGTTCATTACTTTAAAAAGACCAAAAAATCGAAAACGTTTTCGTATTTACCATTGATTTTTAGTAGAATTTTACCTGTATACTAATGCAAATGCTGCAATCTGATTGACTGAGCTATACACTAAATCAGCCGTTAGTGTGCAATGGCTGGAATCCGTTGGCAAATTGAAATAAACGGCGAAATCTTTTTTGTTTTTCCCCGTTTCGGGGGAAGGACGATATGGAAATATTATGACAACAGACCTTTCCCGCATTCCACTTCAATGGGTACGAACAGTAGCTCCTGAGCGAGGTTGGGGTGCACATTTTCATATATCATTTACTGTATTTTTGTCCACCTGACCTCCACTCAGCGCCATTGTTAGTTGGAATGCGGGAAAGGTCTATTACGAACAATTAAATTCCTGAGAACAAAATTTGCTGTTTCTCGATTCTCGGCTTCAAAAACTCGAAATGGATAAGAAAATTCGCGATTTTGTTAAATACTCAGTAGAGAAATCGTCAGTGATCGTTGTTTGAAGGAAATGTAAGTTAGAATTCTGCTGAAACAATTAGATTATTATGCATTTATGAGCCTAAATAGTTGATTCGGTGTTCGAATTGTCAAATAGAAGTGCTGCTTTTTTAACGTACGTTTTCTGAAAAGGACGTTACCCCTTAGGAATTCTCTTTTCGGTTTTTAAGTGAACATTTTTCACTCATTTGTTCGCATTTGAGTAACTCAGCAGCTTTGTGCTTCTCATCCACTTAATACCCGTTGCAGGAGAATCGGAACAGAGAATTCTTAATCCTCGTGGTTTAAACCATATAAAGAATTTATATCCCGGTTTCCGGCTTATTTCAGAACCTAAAACACAATTTACGTTGCAAATTCTAATCAAAGGTGTTTCGTCGGTGAAGAAATGTGTGGTTGTGGATTATCATAAGTAAAAAGAAATAAAAATAATTAAGCGATATCTTCTACAAACTGCACAGCAAAATTTTGATCGAATTTCGGAACAAATGACCTTAACAAAATATGGCCGTAACAACTTCGTTTATCGCCCATGTAGATCTAGATTTCAAGTTCATGCATTTGCTATGCTCTTACGAAAGTTAGTCTAAAGTTAGTCAGTTATAATATAGTTAATGTTGTTATCATGCATTTTTGGTCCTTTTTAGGTGCAAAAAATCTTCAATAAATTACAGGCCTGCTCAGATTCCTTCCTAAACAATCTCTGTGTACTAACTATACTGTGATCAAAATCAAACGAGTACGAGAAAGGAAATGCCTATATATCGTCTGATTTCTTTTAATATTCCGGCAGTGATAGTCAGCATAATAAAGAATCAGTTGAAAGCATGTGCTTGTACTCGTTTTTCCTGTGAAGCATACTGGTGGTTTCAACATGCACATCACAGGTACTTACTGATATCAAATGTTGACTGGTCAATGTGATATCCAAAAACCCTATCATTTGTAAACCCCTCCTTGTATTGGTCATGTCTGGCTTACCTTGGAGCTTTCGGTTTCTTTTTTTTTTCGCTCGTCTGACTTAACGCTTTCAGAAAAAGCCGGCTTGATTCTTAAGAGGTAGGCGAAGGAAATAAAAACTCAAGTCTTGCGTTGTTTTGAAATGTGGAAGGATAAGAGGATTTCTGAAGTATAAAGCGATTAATGATGTTCAAGTGTACTACAGAGAATATCAACCACCACGAACAACTTTTTTCAACGTCTTTCCTTTTTTCTTTTCATTGTCCTCAGTTTGTTAGGAAGGAATCCGACAGTGAAGCTTTACCGTTCTTTGAGTGCTTCGAGAGACTGGCAAAGACTGTGGTACAAAAATGTCGGAGTATATCATCATCTCAATTTTGAAACACCATAATCCAATATAGAGAGACCGGGAAAATATATGTCTACCTATTCTCAAAGCCGACATGACGACAAATTGTATTTCTTTTCATTCTAATTAAGCTATGCTAGCACGCCTGATTAATTGTGTTGAAAGTGCAAATACTTTCGTGCAGTTTCGAGCGAAGTAGGCCTCTAACAGCCCTCGGCTGACGCTGAGCAGAGAGTAATTCAACGCGGTCAGGCGGGGCCGTGAAACTAAAAACCACAATCAGGATCATTTGTAATCAACTTATCTCACAAGGTACCGGCGTGATCAAGCAAGGGACAACAATTATTTCAATTATTTCAATCATTTCAATTATTTCCTAAGTTGTTATCATTTTTGCGGATATACTCTTTCTACGGATATCCTCTAGTTTATAGGGAGCACAGCTAGCACTTATGACGATGATATTCGATATAACTGAAATACCACTTAATAAACCACAGGTATCCCAGGCTCCTTGAGATCCCTGAACATTTATACTCAGCCTTGCGCAACACAGCGTAAATATAAACGCTTGTATGGGAATGTAACGATCGCATATAACAGTCGAAATATGAAAAAAAAAAAAAAAAAAAAAAAAAAAAAANTAAAAAAGCAAGAAATCGTCGAGCGTGACGAGCCAAGTAATTCAAGACTCTTGAAAAGGTTTGCTAACAATGAAAAAGAAAGACGAAAAAAAAAAAAAAAAAAAAAAAATTCAGTGAAAACGACTTACTTCGACTCCGCGATGGGTAACTTTTTTCAGACGATTTGGGGCTGTTTCTAGTCGATTCCAGCGAGAAATTAAAAGTGAAACTAAATTAATTAATTAAATCAATAATAAACTCGTTCATTTGGAGCAAATTCGTGCGGAGAATGGAAAACTCACTAACTCGGAGGTACTGTCCTATGTACAGGGAGGGGCGGGGGTACTCCCTATAATAGCGTAATCGGGAAGGTGCAAAATAAAATGGTTGTTTGGTTGTTGTTTGTGTTGTTGTATTTCTGTTAAAATTGTGAGCGACTCCATGATATTCGAATCTTTTCTGCCGGCTCGTGTTATAGGACCTCCACAACAATAAAACATTTCTTCAAAAACCATAACGCAATTTTTTTCATTAAGAAATTTAACTTTCGTTGGTTAACTATAGATCTGATCTAGTTAATTATTCCAAGCTAAATTTATCAGATTTCTGAATGGAAGACCTTTTAGACCAGCATATGTAGAGAAAATATAAAAAAAATTCCCCTGATTTTTTTTTTTATTTCGGAAAGAGCGGCTGTAATACTGGCAAAAACGAAAGTAATTCCATTAGCCGTTTGTTTGAAATTTTGTGTGACAGGTCACGATAAAAGAAGACGACGACGAAGAAGACTTTTAAGTGGTATATAATTAGCACGTATTGCCTTTTCGTGTGACAAGTTGAGGTGATACCTTCAAAACGTTAACGATTTGCAAAGTACTTTATTTTTATAGTTGAAATAATTGACAAAATCAAAGCAATAAAATCCTATCGCGCATACTAAGTGATCAATCACAGAGCTGGCCAGCTTGAACGGCGTTAGTTTTTGAGCATGTTGATTGTGGTAACGTACCGAAAGTGAATTTGAAGGTATACTGCAATTAAACCCTTTGTCGAAATTTTTGGTTAAAACAAGCAAGATGGAAAAAAAAAAAAAGTCTGGTAAGGACCCTTTTCGGTGATGAAACGAAATTGTTTTAATAATATTCTGATCAGCGATTTTAAACGTCACCGTCTTAGTAAAATATGGTTTCTGCCGGAGTTTGTTGATTTGCACTTATTGTACGTCGCGAAAATTGTCATCCCTTTTTAAGCTATTCTGTTTTTGTTCTGAAGATTCGTGAACATGTACTATTTTGAAATTCAAGTTAAGCAAAACATAGAAGTAAAGTCCGATTTGGTGTAAAAGGGTATGGCTAGATTCCTATTACAAACTGAGTTTTCTTTTGAAAATAATTTCTATCTACAAGGCTAAAAAAGTTGAAAAGTAAAAAATTAAAGGCCGAAGGTTTTCGACACCAGGTCATCTTCAGGGTAAGTTACCTACCCAGGTTAAGTGACTTACCCTGAAGATGACCTAGTGACGAAAACGTTCGGTGTTTCATATTTTTAACTTTTATAGCCTTGTAAATAGGAATTATTTTTAAACTCAAAGCGAATATTGTGGACATCAGTAGTTTGACCATAAAACCCTAAAAATTTACCAGTTCAAAAAGAAAATCTATAGAGTCAGCGGTACTGGTAAAATGCATTTCGATCAAATAGGAACTGAATTTCTCTCGTATCAAAATAATAGCTTTAACACTCGTTTAGCCCATGATTAACTCTGAATTAGCAATATCATACAAAATATTACAAAAAATCCAGTATAAAACTACGTAACACGAATCGAAGTATGGGAAAACTCGAAAGCATTTTTGGCTGGACTTCTAGACAAATGAAATGACCACAAATGTAGTTAACATCAGTTTCTAGCAATTCTGAATTAGACAGAGCTTAATGGCACGCCTGCCAAAAATTCGAATATCCTATTTAATCAGAATGGCGTCCTCTCCACCGTTAGCGTTGAATTAAGTTTCGTTGAAGCTGGTATGTCTTCTAGAGGCAAAGGAATCAGTGATTTGGACCCATTTTAATAACGATTCTAATTCAGTGATATTTTGAGGGCTTTTCAATTCGATTCATATATATTAAGTTTTAGATAATTTAATCGGCATTTCAGTTTTACTGTCAAGCAAAAAGGTAAATTATGTTCCTTGTCAACTTACCTTTCAAATCTGCACTATCGACACTGCAGCAAGCTATGCTCTTCAGAATATCCTAATAGTCAATATTAGAAAGAGCTTTTATTTATAATGAATCCCCACGTTATTCACACTATATATCGAAAATACATCATTTTAAAATTCACCATCAATTTGTTGGCTATTTCCGCCCTTTTGCGATCACGCGGAAAAAAAGGTCTGGATATTTTAAGATATATAAATAACATAATTGTCTTCTGTCGTGGTTAATGAGAAAGGTTTTAAGGGGAACCATTATGTTTTTGATCCATTTCGACCCTGTAGGATTTGTTTTGTCAACTTGAACAGCTGTTCAAAGAAAAGATGGACCTTTTTATTCATCAGCTAATCGAGCTTAACAAACTACTCATCTTGTTTGATTAATTTTCTGACTATTAAATACATTTTAAACTCAAAGTATTTCGTTTTGCTGGTTGTTGTATCTAGAATTTTAAACCAGCATTGCCTATTCTGTTCATTAGCATTTCTTGGAAACATATCTATTTTAAGTATTTTTTGGATCTAAAAATAAGCAGGTTAATGCATCGTGTCACTAATGAATCTTTGTTAGCCAAAACCGATATTGGGACCAAATCCAGTTGATTTTAAACAAATTTCAGTTTATATTCTCGAGACGTTAGGGATGTGTAACAAGCTTAAAATACATTTTTCCTCCAATTATGCAAGTGTATCAAATATTTTGTTCAGGCGTTATAAATATTTTATTTAGTTCCGTTTATCGGGTGATTAGATAGTTGCAGCTCTAATCTAATACGATACGGACACATCATAACCATAGACATGACGTCCCATTTAAGCAAAGGTTAAGATTAATTCCTCACGGCTAGTGTTTATCCACAATATTGCCATGAATAATAAACGTTTAATTTCTTGTGATGTTATTAATACACTGTCTGCATAAAAGCAAACATCGACGAGAAGAACGAAAAACGCCAATTAATCAGTCTTGAATTCTTAGCACTTTCAATCGTGAAGAAACTCACAGTATTCAAAATAGAGACTGACAAACTTGGTTATATTGTAACTGAGATTAAATCACCTCTCTTCCCAGCTAGCATCCCACAAACATTTATTTGGGAATGTGGGTTACATTAATTCTTTCCGTACTCAATAAAACGAGTTGCGTCTTATTTGGCCACTGCACTTCACCACGCACTTCGTCTCGTTATCCACTGAGCCATATATTAACTATAAAAACACAGCAAATTTGACTCAATGATTGAAAGAGACTATTTCATTCAGGGGAAATACTAATTTTACGCTTTTCCCAAAACCTTTTTGGCTACTATCTTGAGTTTTTACAGCTGTCAAAAACTGATTGGCTTACTTTCTGAAAGAAAAGCAGTTGGCGATATGATACTTGTTCGATGTTTTCTTCCCAATGTTTAAAAAAAAAACATGTCTCCAGTCTCCCAATACATATCAATTCTGTTACATGACCACGAAGAGGTCGGCGTGTATTCTGACTTTGTTAAAGGGTTCCACGCACAACCCAGGAACATATTTGAGTCAGATCTAGCCCTGTCGCTGCCAAATATGAGAAAACATGGTCAAAGTGTTTTAGAATTTTGCTTAAGTGAAAATCGAATCGAAAGACAAACAGGAGTGGGTGACATGAAAGGATTTCTCATCAGTTTTCTTTTGAATGATCGCTCACATCTGATTCATTTACGTTCTTGGTCAGCGTTATGAACAGTGAGAATGTATTGATCTTGAAATTAATCGATTTCCCACGAATGGACACATGCTAGGGTTTCGTGCAAAGATTAAAGCAGCAGCACTTTCATGTAGCACTGTTTATGATTTGCAGTACCACATAAAGGTACTGCTCAGTACTTCTCATTTGAATGGTCACACACTAGGGTTCATACTCAGACTTACAAATTGGAACCACCTTCCACAACTTAATAAACAGTGTCATGAAAGAACTGCTCAATAGCTTTCATTTGAATGGCCACACGCTAGGGTTTCATCCCCTGACTCACAAGTTAGAAGCACCTTGTATAGCATAGCAAAGACTGCCACTTGAAAGTACTGCTCAATAGGGTTTATTTGAATAGTTACATACTGGGAGTTTACATAGAGGCTTAAAAGTTAAAGCCATCTTGGACAGCATGATAAACAATACTGTACCACATGAAAGTACTGCATTGAAAATAGCGCATTTCAATTGAATGATCACACATTAGGGTTTCATTCCATTAAAAGTTAGAACCAGTTTGTACTAGTAGTATAAACAATATTAAATGAAAGTAATGTTTACTAGCTTTCATCTTTTTAATGGACGCGATCCTTAAGTCGACAGACTCAAAAGTTTTACAGAACCAAAACTAATACATAAACTTCAAAAAGCATTGCCAAGGGTATCAGCTTAATTGGATGTTTTGGGTTCTACTATTCCATGTTTCGTCTCCGAAATCCTATGCTAAACAAATTAGAAACTCTCCAAAATTTTGGACATCGTTGTTCAATATTTTGCCTGAAACTCAGTGGCGGAAATAAACTGCACAACCGGTTCTATGATGGCTAATCTTCTAAGTTATAGATATTGCCGTCTAGAGAGTGTTTAGTTGGGCGGGTTTCACTGACGAATATATATATATAAATATAGATAATAGTCATAACACAGCGGGGTTTCAGGCACGAAATTTTTGAAAAGTACATATATAATATATTTTAAACTTTTTGAAAAAGTTAAACCGTTTTCATGATTATCAAAAACATCTCTTAGGATCCCTTTTTAAATTTGGTCTCTCTTGCATACATTCATTTGAAGTCCATAAACCAGACTCTTTTCGTACGACTTTTGTTTATGTTATTTTCCATTCAATATACTGCAAGCTTGCCAACATTTAAAGACGCCGACATCAGGAATGCTTCTAGCTCATAATGAAGTAAAGTAAGAGAATGAATCGAATTCTACTAATCGTTGCTTCTTGTCTTTGTTCATTTACTTGGTAAAGAGAACCGCTCAATTCAAGCCAGTTTCTCGGGCTTTTCATTTTGCTTTTAATCCTACTTTTGATAGAAAAAAAAGTTTAATTGCATACTTGAAAGCTAAACCTAATAACAGTCTTGCGGATCTGAAAGACAACATTGTCGAGCCGTAGAATCTAAGCTTAGAAAAGGAAGTAAGCGGAGAAAATATGACAACTTCAACTTGATCAACTCTCGTGTCGCTTGAGGAGAGTTTCGTATGAGCTGCTATAGACGACGTTCAGATTTAACGTACAATTTATTACCAAAATACGCCGCAAGCTTTCAAAAACATCAAGGAATTAATAAAATAGTCAAAAAATAATAAAAACAACGGCTACGAACAGCTGCTTCTGCTACTGCTTTTGTTTTTCGCAAAACTTTGGCTCAAACTTGAGCAAATGAAGATTCGGGTAATTCCAGTTCTGTTCCTGTCTGCACTTTTGCTTTTTCTCAGCTTGTATTTTAAATTGTGACTTGATTACGTTACAGAATCGTGCAAAAATTGAATGAATTGTAAGCCCCTCAGGTGATAAAATTATTTGGTAAAGGCAATCTTGCGTGATGTCCTGCAAAAATACTCCTCCACGAACAGGCAGATTCGACAAATTGTTTGTGTTATCTAATTTCTAAAGACGGGCTTGTGACGCATTTTGTTCAATTTAGGAATTACCAAAGCGGAACACTTCTCGTCAGCGGAAAAAAAAAAAAACTTTGAAAGCTAAGGTTTGATTAACTGAGAAAACGCCAGGTTGAAACTTATATGTATATAAAATTCAACTGTATTTCTTGAGCTATAGCTCCCTAGGATAACTAGCAAAACAACAGAAAGAAAAATACCAGCTGAAATGGCGGCAAAAGTGTCGGAATAATGTGTTTTCTTCGGCAAACAAAGAAAATTTTCGAATTTTAAGTCAAAGTGACTTGCCACGCCTCTCGTAAAAAGTTTCATAGTGTTTAAGACTCGTACTTTTAACATTAAATGATATTTTTTAACTGGAAAAATCTGATTTTGGACTGTAAAGCTTTTAACTTAACTTTCGTCTTCTTCGAAATAGATAATTTTGTTCACTTACTCGTTTATGTAAATTTTGCAAACGCGAGTCATTGACCGAAGTCTCGCTATTAAAATCACTTAAACTGAAAACTCGATATTGAACAGGTATACAGCAATGACCAGAGACAGGCTTTAGAGGAAAATGGTGTCGCGACATTTACTCAAAGGGATGGAGCCATCCACGATATTCGTAAGGTACCAAATAATACATTTCAACATATTTGTATATCTAAGCATAAAATACTTGTTAGAGGTCTGTATAATCCGATAATGTTTGACTATAGTCAGAGATAACTTATTGGGGAAAGCCACCGAAGTCGATCAAATTGAAATGTTCGGAGAATCCTGTAGATATAGTGGCTATTTGTATAAATACTTGTTATTATCTTCAAGGTCTCAATTTTAGGTGTTCATATTTCATATCCCGGCCCTTGAGAATCCCTAGCCTGGGCAATACGCAAACCTACTACATCAAGCGGTAAAATTTCCTTAATTAAAAATAACATACATTTATCATCGCACTGATATATCTTCGTCCAAATATTTTGTTCAGGAAGAAAAGAGCATTTGGTAGGTGACGTACGGGATAATCTTCTCTGATGTGCATGTCATTTAAAAAGAAGTTCTACATGATAACACTTGGAGTAACTAATCGAATTGATTCACTTAAAACACGATACTAATCAGTATCAGGAAGCCGTATGGTTTGATATGCTTTGAGAAAAATAAGCTCAAAAGATATTTCTTTTGCAGTAGAGGCCCTTTGCTCTACACTTCGGTTCAGTTTTCGCCTTTCTTTGATTTCTAAGGCCCAGTTCAGANTTCTTTCCGTACTCAATAAAACGAGTTGCGTCTTATTTGGCCACTGCACTTCACCACGCACTTCGTCTCGTTATCCACTGAGCCATATATTAACTATAAAAACACAGCAAATTTGACTCAATGATTGAAAGAGACTATTTCATTCAGGGGAAATACTAATTTTACGCTTTTCCCAAAACCTTT